ACCAGCGTGCGCCAAGCGCGGCGCTCAATGGGACGCCGCCACTCTGTCCGACAGGCACCTCCTTCCACGCCCGTGTCAGCGCGGCCTGGGCCCGAAATGCGTCACTGGGGTGTATCTGGGATGCGACGCCCGCAAAGGCATCCAGGTTCCCACTTGTGTCGAGTGCGGTCACACATTATCGCCGTGTGCGTGCGTATCCGCTCCCGTTTCTGCTTACTCTCAGTGCTATCTCTTATGATGTGGCCAATGTTGTTCGTATTGCAGGTCGCACGTTTGTGCTCTATCGCTCGTTCTCTGCGTCGTCCGACGGTGTGATATCTGGATTCGTCTGGGTCTGCGGCGTCTGCAAGATCACTTGTTGCCCCTTGCGTCCAAACACGGAGCGTGACGGCGCTCATCCATCCCCAACGAATCCGTGTGCGCCCATCGCACGCACAAAAGTCCGCCACCATCGGGCGTGCGACGTGCACAGCCTGTCACAGAGCCTCGTTTGACAGCGAGGCAGACCGCTCGTTATCTGGTATGATGGCGCGGTCGTCTGGCGCGATTCAGACACTGCGGCGGCACCGTCTCTTTATTGTTCCCCTCGAGTACCGCTTGTGTGTACGCGCCGGCTTTTATTCAACCTTCCGTTTTGGACTCACGAAAATGACTGCGCGCGTGCGGGGGCGCCTTCTGTCAGCGCCACTTCTTGTACGAGACCAAATGTCACGATTGACCGCCATCGTAGTGCGCGGCGGTGCGCAGTGGATCGAAACGGGTACGTGCTACATTTCGCTAGATGATCCTGTCCAAGGCGCTGGATCGTCTGAACTCACGATGGCTAACTCGGTTGGTTACTCCCAGGCTCTTCGCGGCGGTAGTACTTCGCAAGTAGCATGTCATATAAGCAGTCGGACCAGATGGCGAGCATCTCGGTAGTGTGCTTGAGGTAGTCTCCTTGCTCGTTACACGACGAGATAAGCTACGGCGCTGTACGTTTCAAGACGGCGAATAGAAGAGCTTTTCTCCGCGATAGAGACAATCGCTCGCGGTCGCATGAGACAGCGAAGACGAAGCGCTTTTCGCGCCGCCACATGGAGACGGCGAAGGTGTCTTGCTCGTCAATGTACGTACACCGTTCAGCTCATGTACGTACTACCCGCTTATCTCTCCCGCGATGAAGGTGAATTTGAACGACGCTTCGCAAACGTAGTACTATGTTGTCCAAATGCGGATGACGGGCGTTTACCAGCGAGGATCTGGTATTACCACCGCGTGCAGGACCCCAGTCAGATTCAACAACCATTCTGCACTAATTCCTAGCGTCTTGGAGGTTCTTGTCACGCTAACCACCCCCTCTTGGAATACTACAAGTTCGCACCATCATAGAACACGATGAAGCTCGCGGAGATGGCCAAAATTTCAGTGCTTCTTGGGAGGATCGGATCCGCAACCGAGGGTATGCTCGGAGGTACGCCTCCGCGTTCCGTTTCGTGTACATTAAATGCTGATCTCTGTTTTTGGATATAAAGCCGCGCTGTTCTAGAGCCCCTTCGACGACGTCCAGCGGTCCCCCTGTGGATCCTCCGCCCTACCGTCCGCATAGCAATGTCATATTTACGTCCATAAATTCACCGCACGCGGGCTTCAAGGTCCAAGATCACCACCGGTGTTTAAGTGGCATTGCGTCTCGTCGTTGATATGCCCGTGTCTCTCGTTGGTATGTATTTCTTCCATCTGGTCTAGACGCCAGCTAATACGAGAACATCTACCAGGAATACGCCGGTTGCCTGATAGAATGGCGTGGCGACCACGCATAGCCTACGGCTCTAGGGACGGTCTTCCGGTAGCCCATGCGGATGCCACGACAGAGCTCGCGGGGCAGCCGTCCAACGTGCGCAATGCACAGGGCCCTGAAGGCCATAAGCCTCGAGTTCCCCGAGGTTTCGTCGAATTTTCGGTTTGGCGATCGAGCCTGCCGGGAGACGATCCCTTAAAGCATAATGCGGGGTACGGCTAATATACCCCGAGTTACCGAGGGTGGCCTTTGGCAATGCGACATGAGCGAACGGCCATGCCGTGCAGGTCAGAACTGTCATTAGTCGTCGCATGTAGCGCCAGCGGTTGCGCAAAGTGCCCGCTAGATTCAGCGGGATGATGCAAGTACAGTTATGCGGAGTACCTGTCCATATAGTTAGCCTACGCAGGTGGGTGAGCTTGCTTCCTACGCGCTGCGTCATCACTCATCTACACATTCTCAGGGCGTCTCGATAGTATGCGTCCGGAGCGAATACCGAACGCCTCGCAGGCGAAGTCCTTCTCACCGACGTTACCGAGATACGCACTAGAAGGGGACGCGCTGATCCCTCGAAATGGTACCGTTCCTAAATGCTATTCGTCTCCCATCTAACCTGGCGTCACACCTGGGAGAAGGTACCATCTAAATCCGATGCAGCCCTCGACAGGTAGTCCTTGTAACCGAAGGAAACGTGCCCAAGTACCTGGACAGTTTGAATCCAAGTTGCGTCTGGCGCGCGCAGCAGCTCGCTATCCCCGCTTCGAACTCGCGTAAGTATAGCCAAGCGGTCTGGTTATCTGCGCAGAGCTCTCTGAAATACCACCGATGGCGCCATCATTGCATCCACTGACCCTTCTCGTTCGCTCTCATCGCGCGCCCTCGGAATGGCGGGACGAAACGCGAGGCGCTCGAGCGACACGTCTGATGCAGGACCCGACGGTGGATCAACATGGCCCAACTGCCCGCCTTATCGCACCGCCGATCGCCCAGAATGGCAGCGGTCCGCTTCCCCGCCTCCCATCGCGTTCGCGGGCGGTACACCGTGGCGTCGTGCCTGGCCGCGGGCGTCGCCCCCCTCCCGATTCGGCTGATGGCCTCGAAAGATGGAGGTGGACCTCCGGGACTCGGACGAGTGCCCCGCGATCTCCCATGTCGCTGGGAGATAAGCATTGTTACCGCTTCGCGGTGGCTGCTGAAAGTTCAAGCAATGATGTCCGTAGTGAGTTCTGTTTGCTTCCGTGATTGCCCAAGGCTCCTCTCTGCCGGGCCTCGTTTCCTCTATCAGTATCTCAGAGACTGACAGCTTTGTACTCTTTTTGTGAGGAGCAGTCGAAAGTTCTCGTTTCGGGCTGTCACAGATGGAGTCAAGTACTGTGGTAGCTTCAATTCTGCAGATAGCGACAAGTCAACGTGTTTCCACCAGTCATAATAAGTAGGAACCAACGCTCGCCCAGAGAAGGCGGAATGTCACCTGCTCTATTCCTACCGCCGCCACCCCATCCCTGCCTAACTCAGTCCCACCTCACGCTTAAGGGCTACCAGGAGATAAGCTAGAACGCCTCGAGTTAGTGCACAGTACGTCCTCCGCATTTAGATACTCACGCGCCATAGTAGAGCACGTTCACGTCCAGAGTTCGAGAGCCTTCCGAGCCTGCGGCGGCGGCTCATAACGCGGCGGAGGAGTGTCGGGGCGCCGCTGCACATCCACCCCTTCTGCTCGGAGCATTGCAACTTCGTCGCGCAGTGCGACCACCGCCGAATGTAACGTCGCCACCGTATTGAAGGGCCACATGCCTTGGAGAAGCGACCGCGAGGATCGACTGGGACGAGCAAGAGAGAACTCTGACCGTGATCTGGCCGTGGCGGGCGGGATCGCCACTGGACAAGACGCGTCGGGTGCAGCCCCTGAATGGTATGAGAGTTGAGGAGTTTGATCGCTTGCTGACTCAGACAAAGGATCAGAGGGTCTTTGAGTCGCTATTGGCGCAGTGGACGGCTTGCGTCGATGTCGTTTGAAAAAGTGAAGGAAGAGTATGACCAGGAGCAGGGCTACGACACCGCCTGTGACATCGCCGACAATGGAACCAACAAGGCGCGCTCGGGATCCACTCGCATCATCTCTTGAAGATGCCTGCGTGGGTGCGACAGAAGGCGAGTAACTGGAGGCGATTCTCGGGTCAGCGCTGTGCGTGGCCGTTTGTAAGGTAGATTTACTAGGCGTCGAGGGTTGCAAGGATATGTCCCTTGTAGAAGGCCCGATTGTGCTGATCTGAGTCGTTTCCTCTGTGGATTGCTGGGTGGGCCTCTCGTCTTGCTCAGCCGTGTAGATCATATAATCGAACAGAACCAGGGATACATTTCTGGCCGCCGTCGAGATCACGAGAGTATGTGGCCCGTTCGCCAAAGTGGTGTTCACGTACACAGGTACGTCATACACGATCCCTGTGCTGCGATTTGGCCGATGATAATATGTATCCACGAATGAATCGTCTAGGTAGAAGTCGAGGGCAGTAAAGGTTGAGATAGAGGGAACGGTATTGGCTATCAGTTTGAAAACGTAGACGGCGCGTCCGGTGAAACTGACGGTGATGCTCCTCTCCAGCTCGCCGAGGAGGTACGTGCTATCGTGCCAGGTCTTGTTATATACGCGAGTAACGTCGACTATCTTGGCTCTAGATGTCGAGGAGTCAGTGGCACCGATTCCACAACCCTCGCAAGTCGCTCCTTGAATCCAGCCGTTTACGGGACTGTAGTCTGGTAATAGGCTAGTGTAGAGGTCGTTGTATTCATCGTCAATGGTGCGGTTGATTAACATCGCGAGAGCCGTCGGGGGTGATGAGCCTGAACTTGGGGGTGCGCGGTTAACAGATATATATTTCAGCGTAGAGCTTACATAGAATTGACAGGGCAGTCCTTCAGATTGAAGGGCTACATTGTCCATCACCGTTCCTTGTGTTGTTGCCGCCTTCGCCAACCCGAGTTGAGTTCTGAGTTGAGCCTCGAGTTCGACTTAGCCTGTACAAGTAGCAGCCATCAGTCATGCCGACAGTTGGTAATTCACCTCGACTGCTCTTATCAAAGAGTATTACCAACATGATAGACAATGCAGAGGCAACGGACGACACGTAGCGAAGTACGCTTACTCAAGCTACGGTCCTCCTGTCGGGATACCGTTGAAGCAGCGGTTCTGCGTACTCTCATCTAGAGATGTACAAAAAGATGGACGTTCAGGGGCTTGAACCCTGGACCTCACGCAATCATGACTGCAAAGCGTGCGCGCTACCACTGTGCCAAACGCCCTTGACAAACGGTTGTTTTGCCTTTGTATCGATGCGCAGTCAATCATACTGTTCGTCCGCAGTGGCCGAGAGGAAAGTCTGCAGACTCAACTTGACCAATTGCAATGACTTCATCTCCGTACTCCTGCGACGCGGCGACAGAAAGCAATGCAAAATATACACACAAGTCTTGAAGACGAGAGAAACGAGGTAGCCTTCGGACTCATACTACCTGACATATCAGTGTTGACGTCCTGGAACAGAACGCAAATATTACCACACTACAGCTGTGCAAAGTCTAGGCTATGAGACAGCAAACTGGCCCTGTGTGAGCGATATACTCTGGGTATGGCCCTCGTGATCGTTTCTAGCAAGACCGGTCCATACAAAGATAACTGGTGCCCACTGGTGGAGAGCGCCATGGTACGGCTGCATCGGCCAGAACGTGCGATACGAAGCATATCCTTGCGCAGCGACTGCAGGAGTTTATCGTCCTTATCGTGTCGCCTCGTCCTTGCAACCTCCCTGCTCACGGTCGACAAGTAGACGGTGTGGGATACAATATGACGACTGCAATACCGCTGCTAGCTGTTGCACAGGCTGTGCTACTCTCTTCGGCTGTCATTATATTCTACAGACTCTTCCTGGCTCCTCTCTCTCGTCTCCCAGGACCGAAGTTATGCGCCATCACTCGTCTCCCGCTCATCTACTATGAGTTCTCCAGCGAACGGCGCGTATGGATCCACAACCTCCATCTTCGATACGGACCGACTGTGCGAATCGCCCCGAACGAGGTCTCGTTTGCGTCTCGCGAGGCGGCGAGAGAGATCTATTCTTCTGGTGGCAGCGGATACGATAAGACCTCGTATTATAGCCTCTTTGAGCATTTCAACACCCCGTGCGTCCACATCTTTGTATTAAGGTCTTGTCTATTATACTGAGTTCACGGCAGTAACATATTCTCAACGCTCGAAAAGGGAAGAGTACGTAACTGTTGTTCTCTGTGGCTGCTCATGCTAACATAGAGTATAGCACGCAGCCGTGAAGAAGCGTTTTGTTGAACGTTATAACAAAACCCATATCATGCGCCCCGAGGTGTCGCTCGTCGTACAGGAGCACGCGGAGACTTTCGTCGCGATATGCGCAGATAGGGCAGGCAGGAGTATCGATGTTTATGTCGGTAACCCTTTTTTCTTAGTACGCATTGATTCAGCTCACGCAAGTGGTATCGCGAATAGCTGTTGTTACACTGCTACGCGCTTGATGGTGTCACAGGGCATATGTTCCACCCCAGTGGTTTACGTTCTCTTACCGACCCGCAGGATTTCGAGTTGATGAAAGAGTTAACGTTCCCCTCGCTTCTCAAGGGTATGGTCTCGTGTACTCCCTAGCATGTATCAAGCTGAACATGTACGACAGAGCAATACTTGCGGTACTATCTTCCCGGCCTCGGGCGCTTCTTAGCCCAAATAACCGGCTATGGAAGACTGCGTACAGATGGACTGGGATGTGTACATTACGTGCAACAAACGGTGCGAAACGCCGCGGTCGCCTCCCACACGCTCCTCCACAAACTTCGATTGTACGAAACCGAAGACCCTGACCTGAAACTCGCCGCGTCTGAGTGCATGGATCACCTCGTCGCCGGTCTCGACACAACAGGAGATGCACTCTGTTTCCTGATGTATCACATCTCTCACCCTGCCCTACAATCGTGTCAAGACCGCTTACGAGCGGAGCTACTTGCCAATCCATCCATACCGCTCGACAATCTGCCCTATCTCGACGCTCTCGTGAAGGAAGGTCTCCGGGTATACAACCCTGCTCCTGTCAGCCTCCCGCGACATGTACCGGAAGGCGGTCGTGTCATCGACGGGGTATGGCTACCTGCCGGGACGATTGTCAGCTGCCAAGCGCATACACTGCATCGGTATGATACACGCGTTTTTCCTGACCCCGACGACTTCCTCCCCGATCGGTGGCTGGTCCCTCAAGGCGCAATAGAGCGGAACCAACTCTTCTTCGCATTTGGGGCAGGCGGGCGAGGGTGCATTGGGAAGCAGTACGTATATCAACAAATCTTCTCCTGGGACAACGAATAAAGCGGTGTGTTGGTCAGCTTGGCGCTCTTCGAAATGAAACTCCTCCTCAAAGAGGTGTACATGAACTTCCGCACACGCGTCGCACCCGACATGAACGCATCCATGGAGATGGATGATCAGATTGCCACCGTCAGGCCGAAGGATCAGAAGTGCCTCCTCATCTTCGATAGAGTGGACGAGATATGATAGGAGGAAGCGAAACTCGCAGCGCTCCCATCTTCACCTACCATTCGTGGTAAGATTCTACCAGTGATGTATGTACATGTAGTAGCTACCACGGTATACAAAGCTTCAAGCCTCTTAAAGCACGGCTCAGATGAAGCGTCCGAGTGACACTGACTGTTTCCCTGGGAGCATGATTTGAGCGTTGATATTACAGCGATGTAAGCAGACGCGGACACGACGTCAGATGCACTCGCATTTCTTGATTGTTTAGGTTGGCTGTTCCGAATGTACAAAGTACTGGAAGGCTCGCCGGACTCTCCGAGTCTCAGCGTTCACTGGCAAGCCGCCCGTCGGACCAATGGGGTGAAGCGGCCCGTTACTTTGTGACATGCGTGATCGTCATAGCTGAGCACTCTCGTGAGCGCTCGGCCGCAGATATCTCTCTCGGCCGCACGTTGTATGTTGGTTCATCTCACTTGCATGTTGCTGGTTTGGACTTACGCAGCCAAGTAGGCTATAAATGCGTAACATGATTGCCTCAGTCTTTGTCCGCTGGTTTAGACGACTGAGAGAGGCCATCCTACAGTACTTCATCCGGAGAGCGACAAAGTATGGGCCTTTGCGCGGCGGGAACGTGTCAAGACTTACCGCTGGCCTCGTTGTCAAGAGGTGCAGTGCCATCACTCTGGCTATTGAAGCCGAAGCTACTACCTTTGTTGCTGCGCATACATCCATACCAGTCCCTCGCGTTCGTTGTTACTGGGAAGAAGACGGAAATGGCACCCTCATAATGGATTACATCGAGGGAGTCCCTCTGAGACGCGCCTGGCGTGACCTGTCGGTACCACAGCGCCTCAGCATCATGCGAAGGATCGCTGGATTCGTCGAACAACTTCGTGCGATCCCCCAACCAGCTCCCCCGATCACAAGCAAACTGCCACGCAGTGGCTGGATCGGTGGTCCCTCCGGTAGTGCTTTCACCGACTTCATGATGACCGTCGACCCTGCGCCATTCGGACCATTCGCCACTGAAAGCGACTTCTACGACTGGCGCGTATCCCGCTTCAAGCTCTTCGGAGACATCCACGCACCCACTGCCGCCCGAATCGCTGAAATCCGTCGATCAATCCGCGACGACCATCCTATCGTCTTTACCCATGGCGATATCAACCGACGTAACGTCCTCGTTCGTGTTCACGGCGAAGGCCCGGATGACGTGGAGATCGCCGCGCTGCTGGACTGGGAGCAAGCCGGATGGCGTCCAGTATACTGGGAGAGCAGAAAGTGGATCTTCGAGGAAGGCAACGTGCCTATGTGGGAAGAATTCGGTCTCAAGGAGATAGGGGCGGGCTACGAGGAGGAAATCGAGCTCGACTGCGAACTTCAGAATCTCTCAGGACATATTCCATACTGATGTCTCCCCAGGTAATCTACGCACAAGACTCGTGTACATGTATTGACAATTACTCTGCCTTCCCAGGCCACAGGTCTTCGAAGAAGTGGTTCTCTGCCTCCTCCCATAAAGCTCGCTGCCGTGCCAATTCCTGGCGAGCGTTATTCGCGGAGAAGTCGGGGCGAATAGTGACCTTGTCAGGACACTGTTGAAGCTCTCGGATGGCGGAGATGACCCAAACCTGGCAGTTCCACGTAGGGTCGTTGCGGACCACCTTAAACGTTGATGTGACAGGCGCCATTAGCACAATGTCGCACGTACTGTATGGTACGGCATAGCTCACCGGGATGGTCGCAAGGTGGTCCTTGAGCCAATCTACGTACGTTTCGTCCACTTCTCCCACCACGTAACCCCCACATAGCGAGCTGGATCTCAGCAACCGAACTTTCGCTTTCGTCTGGTATGTGAACGTGTCCGTATTCCCTACGACGTCGAAGATGTAGGCCTCCTCTTTGGTTGGCACCGCAGCAACCAGAGACCAGTGTTCGTAGCCCTGGGGAAATCCGCGGCGATCGTACTGTGCGATTGCGAGGAGCAGCTTCATAGCTACTTGAGCCAGGCAAAACGGTAGGCCTCAATAGTTCGGTGTAGGGGAGATTGAGCGATGGACTCTCGAGGGCGAGGCTTACGACCTCCGGCTTCATGTATGAATCCTCACGCTTTGCAGCTGCTAGGTTGTTCCTAGCGCTTCTCTTCTGGACCGGTGGAGTGCGTAGCCCCAACGAGCATTACATATGATCATTATCACCACTTGGGCCCGATTCCGAGCTGGTACTTTTCCGAGGATCTCCCCGAAAGAACGCTGCAGTTGGCTTCATATCTCTGCACAAGATGCCACCTCAGGCTGGATGTTCCGCGCTGCCGTCCTGTGCATGCCGGCTAGTACTAACTTCGCAAATTCGAAGGCCAGGACTCCTGCAGTCCTGGCGCAGCCCTGTTGGCCTTCGGTGCGATTTTCTGGAAATTCTCGTATCAATGCGCGCACGTAATAAGCTGTTGAAGAGGAATCCCCCGCGTCGGGCCTCAATGATCAGTAGACCGCATGGTTCGACGGGGTTACATAACGTCGCGGCCCGGCCAGCAAGTCCTTAAACAGCGAACAATGGGGATCACCCTACTTTCTCCCAGTCTTCTGTCTTCGGAGAACAATCAGGCGTGTGAGCGCAAGGTACAGAATATTATTGATCCTCCAGGCCCTTTCTGGTGAGCCGAAGTATCCTGGAGCAAACGGTAAGACGCGCGGTAGACATTTAAGCACCGTGATAATCTGCTAGATCTCCTCAACATTAGCACTGAACTCAG